CTCAATGTGGCAGGGAGAGACATTTCATTTGATTTTCACTGTCAAGGAAATGGAGCAAGTTTGAGGAAACCCGATGGCAGTGAAGTTGAAACCTCGACTCAGACTAAGGGTGAAGAAACTGGGAGATAGATAAGCCTATGTTTATTGTCTGATTTCTTTACATGTAAACAAAAACGATACTCACAAACATTGCAAGTATTGATAAAGCTTAAGATGGATATGCTGATGATATTGATTAAAGATGTTTTTTTTTTTTAAAAACAGGAAAGTAAAAAGTAAGGAACCTTCTTACATCTTTTAGGACTATATTTTTACAGACCAATCGGCGCTCCATGTGTGATGCGGTCAACTTCACGTAGACCGCCTTTACTTCCCAGGACATTGCCTGGTATCAATTGTTAGCTGTGTCGACCTCGGACCCAAGATCCATTTGGGGTGGGGGAGAGGGGGGGGGGCCTTGATGCGGATTTCAGTCATTGAACTGCAAGCTCCGCGGGTTTCCAATAGGAAAGTAGTCTGTGAATTCGTTTTCAACTATTGCTCATGGTATGATTTAATGAATAGAAGAAGGGCTTAGAACATTCGAATATACAGCCGGAGACAAAACAGAAAGCAAGTAACCGCCGACGTTGTAATGGAGTAGACATGCTCTAAGAGACAACGACTACTGGCCAGGGTATGAATGATCACCTCACCAAACAGGCATTTTAGAGCCAAAATTCATCCAAGCGTGAAAAATTATGAAGAACAGGAAAGATAAATCAGCCAGCCAAGAAATGGAGGAAGCTTCAGGAGATAATAACAGATGGATATATTGACCTGGTGTGAATTGACTGCAGGTGTAAGTTTCACTAGGGGGGGGGGGGGGGTGTTGTAGTGTTGGTGTAGACAAGTAAGATGACTATGAGAATGAAGTAGAGCAGCAGCAGAAAACAAATGAGAACAATGAAGAAGAGGAGAAGGGAGGACGAGGAAGGGAAAGAAAAAGCGCTGGATGATGACGATGAAGAAGAACAACAACAACAACAAGTGCATAACCAGCACCAACTACTATAGTGTTTACCGTTGGTATACGAACTTATGACAGTCATCAATCTCCACTTATCAGACACCAAATGAAGAAACATGAAGAGAATGCTGTTAGCACAGGAGCAGTTATCGACCAGGAGATGAAAGGCCAACTGTTCAATGGTGCACGCAGCACTGCATATAAAGTAGCTAATATAGCGAGCATGGCTAGTTAGCTCAACAAAATCTATCTTCCTTCCAGCCACTTTGTTCTTAAATTTTATGTTTGGCTGTTCTCTTCCTTTACTTCCCTTTTACCAGCTCAATTATTCACAGTTTACCTTAGGTACCTCTGCCATTACAAAAGACCGCTAGGTGATAATTTAGTGAACTTCTATTACCTCACTTTGTGACTAGATCACAGAGCGGCAGGTTCGATTCCCAATACCGCAAACTAGTCTTTATTATGAAGCCAAAATATAGATGTGTCTCTACATATTAGTTCACGCTGTTCATTGGATTTTGATTATTTCGTTACATTTTCCTGTCACACGTTTTCTTGTAGTCTATGGAGCCAAAACATAGATCTATTTTTACTTTTGTTATAGTTCTCTCCATTTTAATTATTTCCTTTCTTTTTCGCAGCCACTATTATAGAGGCCATTTAGACTATTACTTCTGATTATAAAATCCACACACCCACCCTACCCCCACCCCCTTATTTTCCTCCGTTTCGTTCAAATTATTGTCGGATACTATTAAGATGTCTTATACCTTGGCTTTCTCTCTGTACCGTAAATATTTAACACAATAATCTGCAAAGCAACAATATCAAAGCTATGATAATTACTAAATAGGTAAAGCTGCCATTTTGTCAAGCGCGTCAGTTAGTTCACTGGCTGTAAGCTCCAAGGGAAAGTTCTTGTCGTTCGTCCACAGCTGGACTCTGGTCTAGTTCCAAAGCTTGAGTTGTGCGTGCAAACGTTTCTTTATTTTTTATTTTTTTTTATTTTACACATTTTGGCTTATTATTTGTACGCAGACTATTGGTTTCTCGTCTCCCTGTTACTCTGATTTTAAAGGACGTTCTTGTTATGGGGCATCGAAACCCATATGGGCAGCCCAAAATAATTATATACTCTTTCCTAATCAACAAATATCTTAGTTCCAGTTTCTCCACTTTAGACAACATACCCCTGTTTGTTCATTTTGTTTGGTCGTGCACTTGTCGTGCGTCTATTATCTGTCTAAGAGGCTACTTGTGCCTCTACATTACCATCAACAGCATGTACTTCAACAGCATGTTGTACTATTATCGGCAAGAATCGATACCTCAGGTCAACACAAAATATTCTATAATAAAGCTGAGATAAAGTACATGAAACTCGCTTTGCAAAACAAACAAAAAACACTTCCTGTCAACTATCATTGTGGGCTTAGTTGTCAATGCTGGTGAAGCTTTATAGGGCCTGCGCACATAGAACAACACAATAAACAACATGTTTTATTACATCACAGAGGCCATACGACTAGCAGACGAAGGTTCACTTTAACTGATCAAAGTCTTTGGTCGCCAGGACTATGGGGGTTAACTCTTGGCATGTGTCGCGACACTTACTACACTCCGACTAGAAAAAAAAAAACAGGAAGTTAAAATGTGTACCCCGTCAGACAAGGTGCTCTGCTGTGAGGCGGGGAAGGGGGACGCGACGTTAAACCAGCATTCCCGAAGGGGAAGCTTTGAGATATAATTGTGACTAGGTTATGTTGCGCGATATCAATTGGCTCGCCACCAACAGCCCTGAAAGCCGACTCCTGTAGTGTTGATGCTATTAAAGGAGACAAACACACAGGCGACGAAGTCGTCTACCTGCGAGCCAATCGGTGACCCGGTCGCCAATGACTGTCAGACAAGTTCACCGATGACCGTCAAACAAGAGTACTATTCGGGGAATTCCATTTCTAATCCATTGATGATTTGCTATATCTCAAACATTAATTAATCTGTCTGTCTGTCTGTCTGTCTGTCTGTCTGTCTGTCGGTCGGTCGGTTTGTCTATCTATCTATCTATCCATCCATCCATCCGTCCCTCTATCCGTCCATCCATCCATCCATCTAATCTGTCTGTCTGACAAGTTCATAACATCTGAGTTAGTTCACCCCCACAGCTGTGTAGTTAGTTGATTGTGCAGCCTGCGAAACATGAATAGTTTTTTCTCATTAACACAAGTCCGTCGTATGCCGTGTACGTTAAACAACAGACCTCGAAAATAAGAGTTTCACGTTCAGAGGCAATCATAAAAACGGTCGTTAAGGAAATACATTACCCGAAATGCGATTGGGGTTATTTCTGGAAGGAGTGGTTGGCAATGAAACTTAAGCGAGGCGTCCAATCACTGTCATTATTCTTCAGTAGAAGCACACGGACGACAGTATGGAAGAATATGACTGGCAATAAAAACAGGCCTACAACCCTTATGAATTGATAAAAGTGTAGGAAGTCAAAGTATGCATGACTAGGTCCTCCCGTCGACAAATTGGTGCGAAAGTTGCAAAGATATCAAGAGATACATTTTAATGGATACTGAAGGCAAAAGTTCCCTGTATGGGATACTACCAGGTCACCTTTTGATTAAAAAAGAAACAATAGGCCAACTGTTCTTTTACAAGCATGGTTAAAAGGCAATGAGCTCAGTGCTTGCTGAAATTTGACTGTTAGTTGCTTATCCTTTACAGGACGTTGCACAACCAACCCCAACAGCCCCTGGCAGTAGTTTGCCATTGCTTCTGGACGGTCAGATTTCTTGATACCACTGTTGAAACTAACGTAAGGCCCATGGCCCGCAGCTGGGATCGAACCCGGCATCCCGTCATTACGCAGCGTTCGCATCGACTTAGCCACAGAGCCGACGAAATCTGACTACTTATGTAAAAATGCGCAGGCAGGTTGCAGCCTATCCGTAAATCAAAACTCAACGTACCGATCTTCGTTTTAAGGAGAAGGACGAGTAGGAAGAAAAGGAGGAGAGGAGGAGGAGAAGAAGCGGAAGAATCGTATAAAGCTCTTCTGTCTGTAGTGAAGGGATTGAAACACTAATCTCTCAGGCTAATAGGCATGCCTCTTTTAAAGAATTGCTTTGGGGAGTTCATTTGAAACATTTTCATATTTTGGGTGCGATTCCTCTGATTTTAAAAAAAAATTTCTTTGCTGTCTTTTCTATTTTTTTTTTTTTTACACGACGTAATATTTTATCTTTATTTTTTTTAAACATTTCTTAAAACATAATGTATTTTTTTCTTCAAAATATTGTTTCGTTCCTCCACTCTCTCTCTCTCTCTCTCTCTCTCTCTCTCTCTCTCTCTCTCTCTCTCTCTCTCTCTCTCTCTCTTCCATTTTAAACACTACATTCTTTAGTATAGTTAGTAAAGTGTGTTTCTAGGGCTGCCAGTTTCTTTCAATACTATCAATGCTCCATTTTTCTGTTTGTTGGTCAAAAGCAGTTTCCATCTGCTGTTTTACACTTAGCTTGATCCTTTCATCCATCAAAGTGGGCGACCATTTGTAAACGTGTTCAGCTGCACCGTGACGTCACTCTTAACATATTAACATCAGTAAGTTGCAAGGCAATATCATGATTTCTCTCTCTCTCTCTCTCTCTCTCTCTCTCTCTCTCTCTCTCTCTCTCTCTCTCTCTCTCTGACATTTTAAGGTTTTCATTTGAAGACCCATGGCACAATGAGTGCAGACCTCCGTGAATGTTGATGATAAGCGTTCCCCCACTGGTGGTGGCAGAAGCAGATTTGAGACAAGCTGACCCAAACAGACAGACATTGCTGTCACCAACAATTTATCATGGGGCTAGCAGACTAATGACAGGCGGATGGGCCAGCGGAAGGACAATGGGGTTCACTGACCACCCTGGGATATTCTGCAGATGACTGGTGTGTGACAGAAGTCAGACAAGACACCGCTTTGTGCAAGATGGAAACAATGATCAGGCAGACAGTGTTGTCGGATTATTTTTTTAAAAATATATATATTTGTCAAAATAAAGGGGTGGGGGGGGGGGGTGGGGGGGGGGTTGAGGAAGAAGATAAGACTTCTGCCAGACAGCCCAGCCTTCTGCCGGTCCGACCACCCTTCTACTGGTCCGACCACTCTTCTGCCGGTCCATCCACCCTTCTGCCGTTCCGACCAAACTTCTGCCGGTCCAACCACATTTCTGCCGGTCCGACAATGCTTCTATCTGGGTTTTTTTTTTTTTTTTTAGTATCCAGAAGCCATGAGTTGTTAACCCTTAGGCTAAGTATTATGGATATCGCAAGCCTTTGGCCTTCATTCCATGATAAATACAGTAAATCTGGGAGAAATGTGGCTTTTCTGCCTACCCCCGGGCGTGAACACGGACCACAAGGAGTTCGTCACCCGGTCACCGCGCAATCCGGTTTAGCCAACTACCCTAGCGAGCCGGGCCTATCTGTTTTCAAACACGTTAGTGGACCACAATAATCAGTGGTTCAGACAAACTCTACCACAAAACATCTTCTAGTCAGTTGGTAGTTGTACCCCCACCAGGACACCACACAAGCGATAAACACCCGGTGACATAAAGTGGAACACCAGTGGAGAGGTCCCAAAAACCCCTTTCAGCCGTTAGGCCATATCTATAGCTAGGTCATATCTATGCCCCGGCTATATTCAGGGCCCCCGGCAAAAGCCAGGATAGGACTTCAAATAAATAAAAATGTCGTCCCACATGGGGACAACAACATTACAAAACATCATCTTATAACTCCACGCACACGCTGCGTGCTTCCTACAGCTGTGTTCAGCATTCTCTGTTCACAATGCAGCAGCGACTTGCCTCACCTGTCTCAAATATACATTCCTTGAGCTCTTAAGGCCGTGCGCAGGTTAAACCCCTAACACAAACGTCATGAAAGCCAGTCCGGCACTCCGGATACATAACCAGCGCAAGATGTGTTGTTGTGGTTATTGCCATTTGGTGGAAGTCTCTGTGATTATTTCCCTTGTTCACCGGAATTAGTTTCTATAAATAAGCTCCTTGGAACTCTAGAAAGGCGCTTTTGAGAAATGCTGAGTATATAAGAAAGGATTTTTAGTGTGAGGAGAGAGAGAGAGAGAAAGAGAGAGAGAGCGAGAGACAGACAGACAGACAGACAGACAGACAGACAGACAGACAGACAGACAGACAGACAGACAGACAGACAGACAGACAGACAGACAGACAGACAGACAGAGGAGTGAAGAGGGGGAGAAACAGACAAACCGGTATTACTAGTGTGGGTGATAGTCAGTCAGACATATGGACAGAGAAAAGTCAAGAGTGAAGAGCGACAAAGTCCCCTCTCGAAATCAACACGCTGCGCCTGAGACAAAAACTAAACATGTTTGAAAATACTGTGATTGTGTAGAGCTGATATCAGCCAATTAAATCATTAAATACAAAGATGGGGACAGGAAAATGCACGGAGATACAACCGAATGTCTTCACTAAAGTCTTTATAAAACATCGGCCGGGGAAAGAGGGGGGGGGGGGGGGGGGGGACATAAGCCCCTAGAGCTGATTGTTTTTGTTTGCGCTGATCGAATCTGCGGTGACTGAGTGTGTGTCTGCGAGTATGCAACCGAAAAAGCGGGAAATTCCGAAAACAAAAAACAAAGTGTTGGTTACGGGTGGAGTGGCTTCCATCGCTTGATAATAACTGATCAGAATATGAATAAAGACAGAGAGGAGTGTGGGCAAAGAGCAGGCTGATAGAGTGGCTGCTACTGGTCTGGGCGGCAGGTTACCATATGATTCCATTCCCTATGTGGCTCACAAATTCCCATTGGGTTAGAGGGGCGGGGGTTGGGGTGGGCCGTGTGTGGGTGATATACTCATTGCTCCTTAACCAGCATGTCCTAATAGGCAACCGATAAAGCGATTTGCTAAAATCGGTTGTCTTGGGTCTAAAGGCGCAACTATCACAACCTGGTTGTACACCGCAATTCAATGTGCCAAGAACCATGTTAAGGGGGAATACAGAAGTAGATATGATAGTGTGGAGAGTATGAGGGTTTTTGTGACCATCCTGCAGAACAGATCGAGTCTACATCTAGCGAAACCGATACAGGCAAAGAAGAGGTGGGGAGCATAGGGTCAAATCAAAGCACATGAGACAAGACGTGTTTTTTAATCAAGCTGTGACTGGCAACATCAGCTGAAAACTGTCCACAAGGGAAAGAAGAAAGAGATAAAGCACTTAGATAATGCTCTGAGTTCAGTGATCTAGATCAATTAACTCATTATGGATTTATTCATTTAATGTAGATCCATTCACTCAAAGTAGACCCATTCCTTAATGTAGATCCATTCACTCGACGTAGATCCATTCATTCATTGTAGATCCATTCACTGGATGTAGTTCCATTCACTCATTGTAGATCCATTCACTCAATGTAGATCTATTCACTCAATGTAGATCCATTCACTCAATGTAGATCCATTCCCTTAATGTAGATTCATTCACTCATTGTAGATTCATTCTGGTAATCTGGTAATCTTAGTTTCAGCTTCATAGCAAACGGGTCACCCCATAGTTGTTCCGCTCCTGTGCCAACAAAAAACATACAAAATGTTCATCACAGTTGAAATTAAATCCGCGGCTCACAGTGTTACGCCATGCACTCAACTCAGATGCTAGGCAATGAAACTATATCCTTTCAGTCTACAGATAAAGCAAAAATGCAACGGCCACCGTCTAACAGAAGCAAAATGAAAAAAAATTTGCCACAGCCAAATAAAAGTGGCCGTGAATAGCGTCCATTTTGACCTGAAATTTTATGTGAGGTTTCATAAACGGTCACCCCAGCAGTACCCTCACTATTAGCTGGGGAAACCATTGTCTTTGGTCTTAGAGAACCACTGTTTGTTGATTCATTCACTCATTCCTGTGGCTGACCATTCATTTATTCGTAGGTTTATAAATAATTACCTTTACAGCAGCTTACGTGGCCAACTAATTAAGGTAAAGTTGCTTAGTAAAACTAAGCGGCCAACAAATGTCGGGGTTGGTTCTGCAACGTCCAGTTAAGGATATGTAGCAGCTATAGACAGTAACAATTTGGGGGGGGGGGGGGGGGGCTGGAAAGGGATAGGGATAAACATTCAGGAGAACTGGCTCGTACACAAAGCATCCCGACCCAAGGTGAGGTATACTGGCCATGTTAAATACCATGATGGCCTGGAGAGAACGGCGATGGAGGGTACAGTTTCTAGCAAACGATGCAGATGAAGACCTCCGCGAAAGCTGACACAGCACACTGGAGATGTTTTAGCTACGAAAGCACACAGGGCTGGAGGACTGGCTACAGAATGACAGGTTTTCAAGCGTGCCGTGACGAGAATGGCCGTTCATTAAAGGACCTGCTGGTTGATGCTGATGATAGAAAGCCAAGTTCACAACACTACGGCACGTATGCCAAGACACCAGTTATCTAGACGTCAGCCTAGGTCCCTTTCTAGCCCAAAGCATTTCATTTCATCGCTGACTGTCTCATTGTAAGATCAGATAACCAGAAACTAACAACGATAAATGGGGGAAGAAATGTCCGGGTCCAAACTAAACAACGCTAACGAATTTACCATCAGACAAACGAATGTGTCCTGCGGGCCTGCTTTATCTCTTGTTCCACTTTTCCCCCAAATATAAACAATTTCAGGGGAATTAACTTCTGAATCAGCGCTTCTAAAGCTCACATTGAGAGGGCCCGTTTAGGAACTGGAAAATTCTGGATAAAGTCAAATATACACCTTAGCCAACCCTTCGTGGGATGCAATTTTTCGTTATTGTGAAGCCCTGCCTCTTGCCACGGGCGGCAATATAGCCCAGCCATAAATATGGCCTAATGGCTGAACGCCGTTTTTGGGACCTCTCCGTGGGTGATCCTCATCCACATGGTGGCACTTTGTACCATCAGGTGTTTATCGCTTGTGAGATGTTCTGGTGGGGTATAACTACTACTACTACTACTACTACTACTACTACTACTACTACTACTACTACTACTACTACTACTACTACTACTACTACTGGATAAAAAGAGCAGATGACAGCAAAGTAAAGTCACCATTATTTGCTAAAGAAAATTGGAAACATGAATTTAGTTGTCAGGTTTGGTTCTTCTTCTGTCAAACGGTGGATGCTTCGTAGAGAAGCGTAGTTTAAGCGTCGTAGAGAGAAGGCAGATGTGGTTTCCTGTCTTTTGCTCGTCATCCCCTTGTAGGATGCAATTTTTCGTTGTTATTCAGCTGCACGATTTATCCATCTCTCGCTTGGTCTTCCCCTCGCTTCAATCCCAGATTCCAAATGCTCTGATATTTAAAAACACACAAAAATATTCTTCTTTGCGTTCACCAGCTGTACACTCTAGAGGAAAGTTCTGGTTGTTCGTCCACTTTTAAACTGCGATACTGCTTAATAACCTGAGTGTTGCGTGTGCATCGGTTTTACAGATCTGATTCACTTGAATGCAGACTGTTGGTTCCTTGCCTCTCCAACAGATGCACTCTGACTTCAAAGGAAGCTCCCCAATTAGTCGACTCTTATGAGATGCTTTTGGGTAGGCAGTGGGTCTATTCTTGCTTCCCCCTACAATGTGGCCCAGGAACAAACAAAGGGGAAAATATGACAATCAATTTGGTATGGCTGCACTCTCACTAGATGGTCAAACCATTTAATTCTTTGTCTCTTTGTATCTTTTTTGTTTAAATTTACAACTGGGACGAACAATGCATTCACGGAGGGAGGGAAAAAAAGGGGGGGGGGTATGCTTCTTGTTCTACACTGCTCTTACATTCAGGATTTTGAGGATCCCTGTAGCTAAACGTGTTTTAGGATTGAGAGAGGAAGAGAGAGAAAGGGGGAGGGGGTAAGTGAAACTTTTTATTGCAATCATTCCGTTTAGCTGTTTTACCCTTCTTGGCATCCACCTGCTGTAAATTCCGTCGGAAAGTTCTGGTTATTCGTCCATATCAGGACTTTGGTCGTGTTCCAGAACTTCAGCTTTGGGTGCACATCAGTTTTACAGATGTGGCTTATTTGTATTAAGACTGCGGGTTCCCCGCTCCTCAGGCAGATGCACTCTGACTGTGAAGGAAGTCCTGTTCAGCAGTACCTTCTATACCAAGGACAACCGTTCTGTTTCAATATTCCTCTGTTTCAAATAACGTTACACAAGTTGGGGAAGCGAGGAAGACCTCTGAGTGGTGCCTATGCCCTATGCTGAAGTTCTGTTTCGCACTTCACCCTTCAATTCTTGAGTGTAGAAGACTCAGAGACAACAGGGACCACCGCTGGAGCTACACAATCGTTCTTCGTGTAAAACAGCGTAAGCGACCAGACCCTGCGTGGAGACGTGAAGACTGTTGGTGCAATATGGGACAAAACTCAGTGTAATTTTACTGATCCTACAAAACCCAGTAATGTTCTTCGGTGATCACTGATACAAACCACTCTTTAAATTCTGACGGAAAAGATACATTTCACCGCGCCTATCCAGGGGTGAAGAAACCTAGGGGGTTATACACCTTTAGCCCCCCCCCCCCCTTTTCTCCGAACATAAAAACTGAAGGTAATAAGCAACCCACCTCTTCCTCTGCACACAAAAACTGGTGGTAATACCCCACCCCACGCCCACCCCCATTTTTAAAGACAGCTAAGCTGCCCCCGTCCATCTTTCCACCTTTGTAGTTGTAAATTACAACAATAATTATTATAAAGTACTCAAACTCCCTGTGAGAGTTTTCTGCGAGGAAAATAAGAACAGAACCACTGCCTCCCTAACAAGCGTCGACTAATTAGCGGCTTCCTTTGAAGTCGGTGTGCATCTGCCTGACAGGCACTGAACCAACAATCTGCATACTAATAAGCCGGATCTGTAAAACGAATGCGTGCGTACAATTCAAGTACCCCCCCCCCCCCCCCCCCCCTCTCTCCTCCTCACAATACTGGACTTTCCCAGCAACTTCCACGCGAAATTTCAGAGTCCTCGAAGCTGCGTGGAAAAAAAAAGAAGAAGAACCTCTCCTTTCAGTCGTACCTGTTTTACCCAAAAAAACACCCCAAGTTTACTGCCTGGTGTCAAATAATCCTTGACTCCTACCTAATTCATGCAGTGGTGCGTTGGACAAAACTGTGATCTCAGCAGTGGTAGGCGGAGAAAGAGGAACTCAAGAAGCTGGAAACCATCGAAGTAAACCATCTCAACATCAACTCTTGTTAGATAACCCTTCATTAAATATTGAGGCTGGGATTTCCGCGTTTGTTTATACAGATTGCGTCTGTGAGATCTCTGACCTATTTGTGCCTCCGGCGACCGTCAGAGTTTGGGATGTGTTCGCAATCTTACGACATGACAAGAGATGAATCGGGACTAGCTGCCATAGGTGATTCTTGTTGAGTGCATTTACGTGTTTTATCTATTATATTTTAATTCTCTGGTAGATTTTATAATTGTAAAGTCTTTAGTTTGGGTGCAAAAAGTTTAAACAAAGCAGATATTATACCAAATAACCAATTTTTTTCTTCCCTTATGTACAAAACCCATTCGTTCATCTTTTTTTTTTTTTTATCTTTTTTTTTTTTAAATTGAAGACACAACAGTTCACACACTGAGAATTTCGGTTAATGATTACAGATCGCTGCACAGGAACACAGAGAGTTACAGAAATATTCTTCTTCTTCTCCGTGTTTACCGTCCGTAATCTACAGCAGAAAGGTCTGGTTATCCGTCCTCTTCTGGGCACTAGCCGTGTTCCAGAACTTCAGTTTTGTCTTTACATCCCTTGGTTCTTTTCATCTGTTTCACCACATCTCGAAGGCTTTGACATTTGGCAGGGAATCCCTAGAGAGTTCCCCAGAATGCCCTTTATTACAGGGGGTAAGGTTACTGTTAGTTTCTTCTTCTCTTCAATTAGTTGTATTTGCAATTGTGTCTCTAGTATGTAATTCACTGTCTTGTGCAATTCACTCATCGACTCGTAAAAAATCGGTTTAACCGGTGCCCTGAAAAGGACCATCTTGGTATTGCGGCGTGTGAGGGCCCTGGTAAGGACCTACAGTCTCCATGTATGTATCCTGGTGGGACAGGCTTAGGGTTAAATGCAGGAATGCTGACAGTGAGAGGAAATGCATGGCGAAAGGGAAGTCTTGAAGAACACTGCTTCCAAACAGGGCACAGTGGTGGCAAAGCTCGAGCGAAAGTAACACACACTAGACAAGACGACGCAATAAACTGCGAAAACGCTAAAAACAACCAACACAGGACATCCCTAAAATACAGAAGTTTCATGTTTTAGGGTTAGCTGCTAGGGAAACACCTTAGAAATTCCTACGAAATCTCGCAAGCCCCGAGATGGTTTGAAAAAGAGGAAAAGAACCCATCCGTTTCACAGATCTGGCTTATTTGTAAGGAGACTGCTGGTAACTCACCGCTTCATCAGATGCTTGTTAGGGGGCCGTGGGTCTAGTCTCTCCCTTCCCCAAACACTAGGGCCACGGAACCCACAGGGGGCAAAGGAATACAGAAATGAACCCCCAACCCCCCCCCCCTCTCCCCCTTTTCCCCAATGTACAAACGAAATGGAGAATGAAGTGAAAAAGATGAGAAGGGCATCGATGAGTTGCATTTGAAAGCACAGTATATGATTACTTAGTGATAGTGGTAGACATACAAAAGGTTTATTCAGAAATTCCCTTTGAATACTTTCCGTACGCAAAGAATTTATGCGATAGTGGTAAAAGTACCAGACTCTCTAGAGGACACTGTATGTACAATGTCTGTCTGTGAACAATTCCTACTTCTTTAGAACGGCTCGATATAAACGTTAAAAAGTGAAGAGAGCTTGTGCTTCACGCACAGATCATGTGTACTTTTCCTACTTCTGCCAAAACTTGCCATTGAAAACAAATCAATGAAAACATATTGCTAATACTCCGAGGCTTTGAAATCAATTTTTGAATAATTGACACACATAAGACGTTTGGAACACAGTTCTGAGAATACTATAGACCAACACGAAGAACACAAATAACACTGTACTAGATTTAGACATCGAAAAAAAAAAAACTGAATTATGAAAGAAATCATGTCTCGGATAAATAAATACTTCAGCGATAACAAATCGCACAGTAGACAGTCAATCATCGCGGACTGAGGAGAATGGTGCTACCAAGGGTGACAGGGGATATGGTCGACGCTCAACACTCAAGGCAAAGGCGAGATGAATGTACAATCAGAGAGTTACTGGTGCCATCAGAACCGGGACTCTTCGCTTGCTACTGAAGATGGGGACGGGGTGCTTTTGGAAATGTCCCGCGTGCTGTGATATCGATTCCTGATTCAACACTCAAAACCCACATTAGTGCATAACAGTGTTATTCCAATTTTTTGCATCCTCTGACAGAGACAACAGGAGAAATATTTCGCGAATGACCGACTGCGAAGACGAAAGAACAACATATGCAGACATCGTTTAATTTATTAAATCTAATTAGATAATATTTTATCAAATAAAATCTGTGTGGCTAATTATTTAAGCCGTTTGCCTTGCACTCTAAAAGTCGTGGGTTTGTGTCAAGGAAAATGCGTCGTTCGGTTCACGAACTTGCAGTTTTATGAAGATCCCTGGAGATCGCCGCTGCAGCTAATGAGTTGGTGCTTTGTGTGAAACTCTCGGCAGCTGGCCGACTCTTCTGAGAGGAGAAACCAAATGGGATTAACTCTGGTGCAACGTAATCGATCCTGCAGACTTCAAACCTGATATTCACATTTTTACATAAAGAGAAAGCATGTTCAGAAAACAGAGAAGCAACAGACACAGGTGTGCCTAACTGTGCATTTTGGCCTTCGCTTTAAAAGGCTGACGGAGTATTCTTGGCGAAAGATAATAGCCTATCAATCAATCAATCAAAAGCCAGCTCTCATAGTAGAGTTATTCTACTAGTCATTTCAACAACATAATTGTCGGATCCAACACTTTGTGAACGTGCAAGAAAATCTTTCGTACACAATACCTGCATTTTTATTTTTAATGCTTCATAAATCCACACAAGTAAAAAAGAACTGATTAAAGAAACAAATGTTCTAAGGAAACATTCATCTAATGCAGGGGTTCTCAACCATCCTTATCTTGCAGCCCGTTTATACAGTTCCTCATATTACGTTGACCCATAACCATACAATTATTTTCGCTGCTACTTCACGACTTCAGTGAATATGTTTTTCGATGGTCGTAGCCGGTCCTTGTGAAAGGGCGTTCAACGCAAGGCGCATGGCCCGCAGCTGGGATCAAACCCAGCATCTCGGCATTACGAAGCGTTCGCATCGACTTAGCCACAGAGCCGACGGTTCGTCTAGGAAATGTTAAAAATCAAAATGGCAACATTTCTAATCAATCTCCCTCGTATCTAACTGAATAGTTCAAGTAATAAATTCAGAAGGCGACTGAACTAGGAGTACCCAGCCACGACCGTGGATATAAAACATTAGGAACACAACCTTAGCGGCCAGTCAGAGTGTTAAACCAATGCTAGACTGAAAGTGTTGGCAGATACATTACAGTCAACTTTGATTGCGGACACGGCACCTGCCGATCACTGCATGTTTTTGTTTTTGTTTTTTTTCTATCTTTTTTTCTAACTAGCTAGCTAAGCTCTAACCCACCACCCCCGCATACAACCCAACAAAGGAATAAAATGGACATTTTCAATATTTAGTTTTATTTCACATTATTTCAGATATATTATTATATTTATCTGCTATTTAACACATTATTATAAATGAACTGAACAACGCTTCTTGCGCCCAGAACCCCTTACTTTTTCTCGATCACCAGTATGTTTTTTTATTTGTCAGCGCCCCAGACTCAATGTTGGTTTTTTTTTTGGGGGGGGGGGGTGGGGGGGGGGAGAGTGGGTGGAACATCTTATGGTGGGCAGTACGCTGTGTACGGGTATCCTTTGGGTGTACCAAAGACTATAAGAGACAGACAAAGCACAAGGGTGACCGGATATTTTCTGCATTATTAAACGAATCAATGGCCAAGGGAAGGTAACTCGGTCCACAAATGTCTTCGAGCAGTCAAATGTGTCAAAAAAAAGAGGCAAATATCGCAGCTCTTTTGGTAGGGCCACTGTGATCGCACCAGATCAGTAGCTTTTCAGGCGACATAATTCGTGAAGATATGGCAACACCTCCAGCGCCCCCCCCCCCCCCTTTCCAAACCCTTCCCCAACTTGAAAAAAAGACATTTGCTAAGAACGAGGAGGCAGACGTTTTTTTGCAATTAAACTAGAGCAAATGTTAGTTTCGCCCGTGTGTCACCGGGGCCCTCACGGGAAGCAAAGAATAGTGACACTGCACCCTACCAGGCATGTCGTAAGAGGCGAGTAAGGGTAGGGTTGGGCTTGAGGTTGGCTACCTCATCCTGTAAAAACCATAGCCACAAAAACCAACCAACAATGGATAAGTCAAAAAGAGAAGCAAATAAAATCCAGCCAACCAAGAGAAGGGGAGCCCTTCAAATAGAAGAAGTATGACACGGTGTGAAGACAGCCGTAAGGAGTCCGGATCGTTGACTTACCTCCTCTCAGCTAGGAAAACCTCCAGAATTGGCACCTGGAATGTTAGAACTCTCTATGATATAGGGAGAACAATGGAAGTAGCAAAGGAAATGAAACATTATAGAATTAGTATTTTAGGGTTATGTGAAACAAGATGGACTGGGGCAGGGAAAAGTATTCTAAATTCAGGAGAAACTATTTTGTTCTCAGGACACAGAGGAAAATTCGCCGCACAGTGAAGGAGTGGCCCTGATGCTATCAAAAAAAGCAGACAGGGCACTAATAAAATGTGAAGCTGTGAGTTCCAGAATAATAAGAGCATCTTTTAGAGCAGTAAAACAGAAGATGAACATGTCGGTAATAGAGTGTTATGCACCAACAAATGATAAAGATGCATCTGTTAAGGAAGAATTTTACATGCAGCTTCAAAATATTATAAATAATGAAAGAAAGGGCAACTTAAAAATGTTGATGGGTGACTTGAATGCTAAGATAGGATCAGACAACACAGGTTATGAAGAAATTATGGGGAGACATGGTCTAGGAGTAATGAATGAAAATGGAGAATTGTTCATAAATTTTTGTGCAGGTAACCAGTATGTTATTGGTGGAAGTATTTTTCCCCATAAAAGAATACACAAGGCAACATGGGAATCACCAGACCATAAGACAACTAATCAAATTGACCGAATCTGGAATGAATCTTGAGTAGAAGTTCTTGGCAAGAAAGAAAGGAAACATAAACCATGGATAACACCAGAAACCATTAAACTCATTGAAGATAGGAAAAGTAAAAAGGCAGAATTAAACAATAGCAAAACTAGAGCTGCTAAAGCTAGAGCTCAGGAGAAATACACAGAAGCCAACAAGGAAGTTAGGAGGCATATATATCTAGCACAAGAAGCGGAGACAGCAGCAGCAAAAGGAAACCTCAGAGAACTTTACAGTAACACAAGAAAATTAGTAGGTAAATATAGTCAGCCAACTGGATCAATCAAAAATAGTTAAGGAAAGGTACTTACTAACACTAAAGATCAAATGGACAGATGGGTTGAATATTTTGAAATGCTTCTAAATAGACCATTCCCAGAGGTTCCCCCAGATATCAAGCCTTTAGAATTGGAACTGGATATCAACTGTGAGATCCCATCCAAAGAGGAAATTAGAAAAGCTATAAATCTTCTCAAAGAAGGAAAGGCGACAGGCCCAGATAGTATCCCAGCTGAAGCCATCAGGACCAACACAAACACATCAACAGAATTGCTATATAGATTATTCTGTAAAATCTGGGAGACCGAAGAAATACCAGCAGACTGGAGAAAAGGATATCTTGTGAAACTGCCCAAAAAAAGGAGATCTACAGGAGTGTAAAAACTATAGAGGAATTATGTTGCTGTCAGTTCCTGGAAAAATATTAAGTAGAATTATTTTGGAAAGATTAAAAGATGCTATTGATAAAATGCTAAGAGATGAGCAGGCAGGTTTTCGGTCAAATAGATCCTGTACTGATCAGATAGCCACATTTCGTATTATAATAGAGTAAAGCATTGAACTGAACTCACCACTTTACATTGGATTTATAGACTATGAAAAAGCATTTGACAGCATTGATAGGGAATCTCTCTGGAAATTGATGGGGCACTATGGAATCCCAAAGAAAATTATCAACTTACTAAAGGCAACATATAAAGACATGAAATGTCGAGTTCTTCATGAGTTAAAACTAACAGATGCATTTGAAATAAAAACAGGTGTGCGACAGGGATGTCTTTTGTCGCCTCTCTTATTTTTACTGGCTATAGACTGGGCTATGAAAACAGTAACGGCTAACACCAAGAATGGAATTCAGTGGACCCCTACAAAACAGCTTGATGATCTGGACTTCGCTGATGATATTGCTCTTCTGTCCCATTCACAGAATCAGATGCAGGATAAATTAAATATACTTAATGCGAGATCACAGCAGCTTGATCTGAAAATCCATAAAGGAAAGACAAAGATAATAAGAATAAATCAGGCAAATAGTAATGTGGTTTCTCTTAATGGCACCCTACTCCAAGACGTGGAGTCGTACACCTATTTAGGCAGTAATGTAGATAAAGATGGAAGAACTGATAGAGATATTAAAATAAGAATACAAAAGGCAAGAGGGGCTTTCATAGCACTAGGGAATTTGTGGAGGTCAAAAGAAATTAAAAGAAATACTAAACTAAAAATTGTTA